GGTAAGCTTTATTTTACTGTAAAATCCTCACCACCAGTAAAGTCGAATTAATATCCACAATTACAACGTGGCACTAAGGATTTTGGGGGTAAATAGCAGCCGTTTAGAAGTCTGAGAAAATATATGCGGAAAAGTGTTTATTTGCTCATAGAATAAATTTTTTCGAGTCCACAAGCAGCACCATCTCTAGATGTTATCACGCCTTTCTGAGGATCAATTTAAAGCTGAGTTTGGTATGAAACATTCCAATTTCAGTTCGGTTCGGAGACATTTGTTAAGTTGCATTTAACGACACCATGTTGTCTGTGATCGAGTCAAAGATCTTACCAGATGCGAACCCAGTTTCCGATTTCTTCTTGAATACAAGGACCTCACAGATGCAAACCTAGTTTTCTGTTTTCTTTTTGAATGCAAACACCTTACGTCTTGCTTGGTATCCGATAGATAAGTTACATCACCAGTATATCTGTCTTTTTTATTTCTGAATCCAAACTCGATTCAAATTTTTATAACTAAAGCTTTACCACACCTTAATTGTATGCAAAAGGTTCATGGATCTCAGCAGATCTCATGTAAAAACAGGAAATCATCAGCTAGTTCATATCCAGTAATGATCGCTGACCTCTCTGAATAATAGCTAAGTCCGGAATGAAACACCTGAACTTCAGATTGGTTTTGTAAATTTTGTAAAGCTGCATTTTAGGACGCCATAGCACATGCAAATGCTCAAAGAAGACGGAAGATGCAAACCCAATTTCCGTTTCCTACTCGTAAACAAGCGCTAAACTCTTTCCCTCGTTTTCGATTGAAAAGTTCAATCTTAAGATCTGTGTCTGGGCAAACTTTCTTTATTTTCGATCCCGCAAACTCAGTTCAGTTTTGACGTCAATTTCATTTAATTACTTGCATGCAGAGAAGTGCTACATAATGGCTGTCTTGGTCGAGACAAGAAAAAAGTGGGTATCTATATCATCAAAGGTGTTATGCGATCTCTAAATTATGGCAGACTAGAAACCAAACGCGGGCTTTTACGAAAGAAAAAAGAAAACAAAATTGCAAGACGAAAGTGTTGTTGGCTTAACATGAAAACTTTTTCCTCTTGAAGACACTCTTCCATTTTAAAGAGCTCGAGTACGAAAACGTGAAACATGACCTCACTCATCTCACGATGAGCACAAAACAATCAATAATGTCTCAGAACAATACAGAGGATGGACAGGTCACTTAACATGCCTGATTCGACCTCTGTTATAATTGTTTTTTGAAGCCGCGTGTGCCCGGCTTTCTCGAAAATCTATTCATTTCGCTTGTGTTTTAATTTTAGTAACAAATTTGTGTCGTAAAGCTGACCAGGTCGTAAAATAAAATCAACCACACCGAAGATCTTCAAAGTTGATCGCTGACCTGTATCTCTCAGTGTTGATTCTATAGTAACCACTGACTTTCGTGATGATCAAGAAAGAAAATTAGAAAAAGCTGTTTCCTTGATTTTGAAACTTACCCTTAAAGATTATATTACGCAAAAACTTGTCTCTTTTTTTTTTCTCTTGAAACAGCTTCGTTTGTCATTAAGAGTTTTATTTCAGCTGCCATTTGTTTCACGTTTCAGGATCATGAGTTATCTAAACGGTAGGGGGGTCAATTATCGAATAAAAGCAATGAGGGAGCCAATCAAAATGCCTCTAGTTTAAAGTCGTTGAGTGTCCGTCATCAAGCGCTGTTGATCTCGGATGACCCCAAACCTCCAGAGTGAGTCCCTTAACCTGTCGAATCGTTTTCATGATCGTGACAAAACAGAGAGTTACTTGCACCAAAACTTACTGCTTCACTGCTTCCTGTTTAGCTCTAGGGAATATAACTTGTTTCAGTTACTCGACTAGAACTTGGGTTGCTGCTAAACACAATTTCTGAATGTGCGCCAGGTATTACAAAGTGCGCCAATTTTATTACAAAGTGCGACAAATATACAGAGTCACGGTTATTACAAAGTGCGACAGGTATCACAAAGTGTGACGGCTATTACAACTGAAGTGCGCTGTCTTAAAGTGTAACAATTTTATTACAAAGAGTAACAGTTACAACAAACTGCGACAGTTATCACGAGGTGCGAGAGGTACTATAAAGTGCGACAGGCACTGCAAGGTGTGCCAGGTATTATAAAGCGCGACAATTTTATCACTGAGCGACAGGTGTTACAAAGAGTGACAGTTACCACACAGTGCGTCGGGTATTACAAAGTGCGACGGTTTTTCCAAAGAGCTACAGGTATTACAAAGTGCGAAAGGTATTAAAAAGAGGGCCGAGCACAACGAGGTCCGTGTGTCATGAACGAGAGCCAAATATTTGACCGTCCGGCCCCAACTTACTTACTTAATACGCGTTTTATCATATGAGCACTGAATAAGTTTTTGAAACTCGAAAATTCTGATTAACTTAACTTGGACGTAATAACCTGGCGTGCGCGGGAAAACCACAAAAAAGATCCGGTAACAAAAACTTGTTCTTTATTTTTCTCGAGACCAAGAAAATCACAATTTATTGAAAAACGTGACTAAATTTTTGCAACAATAGCGAACAATATTTTTTTTTCGCAAGAAAGCCGTACAAATGCAGTGGGGCCGGACCGCTTTTTCTGGACCGGCTCACGTCCACCCCTTCGGCCTTGCACGCGTAAGCTTTTACCAAGGTTTTCTATGGGATTGCGCGAGCGGAGCCGGACGTGTCATAGGATAAACAGGTTTATCAGCCAAAAAGTTAAGCCTACCATACATTTGGCAAAAGCTTAGTTCATGCTTATTACATCAAGGCAGAAGCCTCTCGACATTTCATTTTCCTTGTTTGATCTCACTTTGACGAAGCTAATGTTGTGCGGGGCAACTGTAACAAATGCCTATCTGAAAAACCTCAAAAGCTTCAAGACTGCGCAGCACACCTTTTACTGTATGCTGGCAATGATAATAATTTGATAATAATATTCCATTGCTAGGGTGGCGGAAATCCTTTCATCAAACATTGAAAAAGAAACATATCATGATTTATCGTAAGACTTTACTTGGGATCGCAGCGCAATATCTAAAACAGATATTGTTTTTTATTTTTTTTTTAATTTTTGGCGACAAACTGAATGCTATATTGTTTAAAAGGACCTATATTGTTTAATTTAATTTACTCCATTTTCATTGCATTATTTGCAGTGGGGAAGGACTAGAAAGGAACATACAAACCATTCGTGCTAGTCCACCCTCCCACCCATCCCTCCCCAGGGGAGGACATCCAGCACAGTAATCTCGTTTGTGGGAGCTTTACGTCTCCTACCCCAACCCTGCAGGAGACGGGAACTCCATTTATTCGTCCCTATCCGACAAGACTAGAATATCTAATCATTTCTTGATGTTACAGAAAGGTAGCAAATTCTTCTCAATTATTTTAAGACCTTGAGTGTTGGTCCGGCCGGGGCTCGAACCCTCGACCTCCCGCACAACAGTCCAGCGCTCTATCCATTGAGCTAACCGGGAGGCGGTTTAAAATCAACTGCGCATTGATTACATGAAGATGTTATTCGTACAGTATAGTCAATGTGTGAAACAAATCAATAATCAATCAAGAATCTTTATTTATACACGATAAGTATTTAAAGCGACACTTCGCTTGTGGCGTCAATTTAAGGAAAATTGAGCCGCCAAACTTCTATTTGTAATATTTATAACCACAGTATAAGATCTCATTCTTTTGATGTTATTCAGTGCTGTAATCGAGGCTAGGTGTGTAGGTAGCTACGCGATTAGAATACTATAGGGCTGAAGGAAATGCTGTGTATGAATAAAGATATCTTTTCTCTTACCCTCATGTCTTCTTGCATTTTCACATCGAGCAGGAAAGTGTGGCTTTTTGCCAGCCTTGCTTGTGGCATCGTGTACGGCCCGCATACAAAAAAGTCAGCCAAGAATCTTCAGAAATGGCAAATCGTCGCTTCCATATATGCCAAAAACTGGAAAACCAGTTAATGCAAAATAAATTCGTGACAAATTTAAGTATGTCAAGTTTGCTTACAAAGGAAAATTTGCCTAGATCAATTGATAACTAAACTGGGATCACAACAGTTGCTGTAGCATCATGCAAAAGCCTTGAAAGCTTTTTTTAGGCTTCCTCCCCTGCTAGTCCTTTAATTACATTATTAACTTGATGAATTAAATTTGTGAGAAAATAAGAAACAGCAACATTAAAAAAAAAAAAACGATTTAATTTTCGCTGCAGTTTTAATGGTATTTATAATCGGAAGAACCGGAGACAGCTTATCATGCTTGGCAGCTGGACTTTGATTCTTCACTATTCGATTCCAATTTGAGTCGCCTTTGAAGGCAATGATGACTAAAATAAGATGATTTTCTATTCCCCAGGACAACGAAATATTAACGGCTTGTCAAAATGATTGCTATCAAGATGCTTAGTTTGTTGGGGTCTATAGCGGTGCTCAGATTGAGGTAAATAAGTAACGGAGGTGAGTTTCTAAAAGAGAAAAAAAATGAAACTGTTGTGCGGCGTCGGTGGGGGTAGCAAGTACCATTCGCTCTGCCACCTCGCACGTCAGCTTTGAAACTCTTTATGATGGCCAGTTTACAACAACAACTCAGTTGATAAAACCAAAATTACCGAAGTATATAAATTTTGCTTTATTTTTGAAATTTTCTCGTGCTTTATCTCTGGCAGTAAGGAAAAAAAATCATTTTCACTGGAACCAATTAAAAATGGAAATCAAGATATACATGAACTTTCCAGGGTATCTTGACATCTGGCTGGATCTAACTCACTGAGTTAATAGTTTATGAGCATTTTACCATAACAGCCGTACTTTCTCTTTCATTCTGTTTGCTTACTTTTCACGTCGTGTGAGGTGGCATGCACGAAAGCTTGGCTTTTTACAGCCTCACTAGCGCCTTTGTGTGTACGGTCCTCAAGCTGGGAAGTAGATAAGGCAAATTTAAATGGGGTGAATTTTCACAAGGACGTACGTCGAAAGCCGGTAGGCAAGTCATTTAATTCAGTATGACAAAAATTTTAAATGATAACCTGCTTAGAGGATCCTTTCGACTTCTTAATGAAATTTGTAACTGCTGGAAGAGCGAGACGCCGAGTCCTACTATAACATTGAGCTTTGAATGTTCCCTGAAAAATTAAAAAAGGAAGTTGGACTCTAAGTTTGGGAATTTTACGTCTGTTTCAAGACAACGGGCTATTGACAGTAGCTTACAGTGCGGCCTCATCAAATGATAGGTGAAAGGTGTGAATTCTTGGTTGAGGTCAATAGTGGTGTAGACTGAGGTAAGCTATAGTTACTGTAAAATTCTTATCGCCAGAAAAGTCGAATTAATATCCGCAAATGAAACATGACACTTGAGGTTTTGGGAGTGAATATCAGTCTTTCATACGAGAAAATGTGTGGGGAAGAGTAGTGTTAATATTGTCAAAATTAATTTTTGTCCTATCTAGTTGTGATCACTTGTTTCCAAAGCTACTTCAAGCTATGTTTGGTATGAAAATTTCATTTTTGGTTTGGTTTGGCTCATTTTGTAAAGTTGCACCTTACGACGCAATATTGTACGCAATTGAGTCAAACATCTCTCCGGGTGGGATCTCAATTTGCTTGAAAAATGTCGTTATTTTATTCGAGTTTTTGTAAAGTCGCAGTTTTACCTCACGTTCATCGTATGCAAATAACTTATGGATCTTAGCAGGAAGAGAGTTGTTAATTTTCTCTTGTACTAATAAAAATTTTTTCGAAATCACCGACTAGCCCGTATCTAGTTACTTTTTTGAAGAATATTCCCTGAAGCTTTGTTCGATCAAATTTCGGTTCGGTCTAGATAATTATGAGTGCGACACTGAACGCGCATCACTTAGGTGGTTAAGACAAGAAAAATACAAATATTTTCCCCAAAATGTGCCCAGCATCTTGAATAAAACGTCTCCTGTGTTTTGTTTTCGGCTCTTGGAAAACTATGGGAGACTAAAAAAACCCAAAGCCCTAGTAGGCAAGTGGGCCTTGCGAGGGATTTTTCTGAAGAAAAAAAAAAGAAAAATTGAAGGCCAAATTGCGTTGTTGCCGTCTTTGAAATGTCCTCCGCCTGCGGCGTTCAAAAAGATTTTATCTATTCCGTTGACTTCCCGAATGTAAAGCTTCATTTATGTATTGTAACAACGTTAGAATAACAATGGCGTGTACGTGGTATTCTGGCCGAAGATAAAACCTTTTTCCACTTATAGACGCGCCACTATTTTTAAGGGTAAGAAAACGTGAAAATAGCTAATTCGACCTCTCTGCTGATGTTATTGTTTCTTGAGGCCGCAGTTGGCTTTCTCAAGAATCTTTTTATTCGCTCTAGGCAGTAGCAAATTTACGAAGGGAAGTAAGGCCAGCTACAAACTAAAATCAATCGCACCGAAGCGAGTTGCTTTGAAAATCTTCGAAGTTGATTAATAGTTGATGTTTAGTTAGAGGTTTTGACTCCAGCTATTTTTCCATAGAAAACGATGAAGAAAAAATTAAAAAATGCCGTTTCATTGATTCAGATTTTTATTTACATAGAACTTTGCTTCTCTTTCTCTTTTCTTGAAACAACTTCGTTTGCGATGATAGTTTTATTCCAGCTGCCATTTGTTTCATGTTTCAGGATCACCAGTTTAATCGGTAGGGAGTCGAAGATCGATAAGAACAAGGAGTCAATCAGATTGTTCGTAGTTTCAGATCGTTGAGTGTGTATGTCACTAATTTATAAGTTATCAAGTGCCAATGATCCCTGATGACCCCAAAGATTCCCAGTTATGGTCCAGTAACTGATTTTCTACACAAAGAAAAATGCTAAGCAACTGTTGAGTGGTGTATTATTTACCAATTGAAATTTTTTCCTGACTGCATTTTGAAATCGAGGCCTCCCCCATCTACTTACCTCTAGCAGATAATACTAGAAAAAAAAATTGATCCAAAGCATGGTCCGAAAAATTGTTCAATAGTCTAAGGGTCCAATGGTCCATTCCTCATTGTACCTTATGCCCTTACGCCTGTCAGATCGCTTTCGCGAACGTGATATTTAGAAAACGCCCGAACACTGATAACTATAGGTTAAAGTTCCTCAGGAAGTTTAATCTAGTGTTAAGCGGCTTTTTGTTTAGTTTTTAAGGGCAATATCTTCGTCTCAGCTACTCGACTGGAGCTTGCCACAAAGTGCGATGGTTTTTTTTTTGTGTGTTACTAACAGCGGAAGTTAGTATGAATTGCGACATAACGTACATTGAAGTGCGACCACGACTCAGCCTGCCGGCCTCTTTCCATTCAAACAGTATGCAATGACCACGAGAGGTCAAATATGACACCAATGATGTTGATATGTCTGGAGACTAAAGTGCCCCGCTCTTTGTTTTCATACACGCGATAAAGATAATTGGTCCAAATATATGGCCGAAATAATTCAGTACTTCAGAACGGTCAAGTGTTAGCGATGAAACTATCTTAATAGGTTAAGAAATCTAAACGTGGTAAGCTTTTCAAACATCTCAAAAAAAAACCTCTAAAACAAACAGTATCGCAAGCGCCATCATCAGCCCTGCTTTGTATGATATAGCGGAGTGATAAGATTCCCGTAATAGAAGCATAATTTGTTTTTAGTCGAAGTTTATTAAAGGACCTTTTTGTGTTTCACCTCTTCAGGTACACGTGAGTGCTTCAGTCTTGCTGCCTCCTGGGCATAAGTCGTTAAAAGCCTTCAATGACGCTGATTAACAAGTATGACAGACCATGAAAAGTACTGAAGTTGCTACAACCTAATTGGTGGAGTCACCAAATCGCCCACTTCCTCTCAACGACGGCATCCGGAATAATTAACTCAGTGGAAGGGGCTGAGTCTCCTACATTATTTATAGTTACAGCTTCTCCTTTAGACATTAAAAGAGAAAGCACTTATTTAAACTCATCAAGTCTTCATTGGAATTCGTAGGATTGGCCACTTCTCTATCGTGTTGAAAGAAACTGGAGACACGTTTTAAGGGTCAAGAAGTCAAAATTGTTTTAACTTAAACCTTTGTAAGAGTTTGTGCTGTCTCTGCTGCTGTGAAAGGATCCAGGTGTGACCTGTGACGGGAACAACATTTCATTTCTTATAAGGACGGAGAGAAAAATGCTTGGAAACACGAACAATTCCTCAGCGAACAATTCCTCGGTGAATTTGCTTCATGGTTCGGAGAGCAACGATACAAACTGTGGCTTCACTGATGGACCAGCTGAAGTTTATATCACAATCCATGTTGTCACCCTCGTGGTGTCCTTGGTGGGAAACATTCTTCTTATTGCTGCCTATGTGAGAATGAAGGAAATAATCATGCTCCCTATCGCCAACATGGCTGCATCTGACCTGTTGACTGCACTCGTTCTAATGCCTCGTCTTATTAAGAGCGAATTCACCGGATCCAACGCTTTCCTCATTCATGGAGATTTTGGTACATTTCTGTGCAAGATGTCTGTTTTCCTAAGCGACATATCGCTATCTGTGTCAACCCAGAGCTTAGTGTTCATAGCCATTGAACGATTCCTTGCAATTGCATATCCAATTTTCTATAGGAAGGTAATCACGGTCAAAAGACGCTGTCTCTTCGTCGCCTTAACATGGGTAATATCCATGGGGATTCATTCTCCGTATTTTTATGCTTTCCGTCTGTCTGCCAATCATATATGTGAAATGAACTGGGAACCAGCTTTCGATAACGAATCCACGCGGCCACGCTATGCAGTTTTTATTTTCGTGACAGTTTTGTTTTTGCCGTTACTGACTATTTCTTTGCTCTACTGTATTTTCTGTGTCAAAGTTCGGAGAGATAACATGGCTTCGTCTCGAAGCGAGAGGGCGGCCTTAAGACATCAGGAACGCAGCAAGAAGTTACAAAGGATGGGAATAGCCACTGTATCGGCATTCTTAATATGCTGGCTCCTATATATTGTTATGAATGTTTACCGAGAACTTTCTTCAGACACTGATTATAAATGTAGCAAAGGTTTTATGATACTGGACCGTATCTCTCGCGTTTTGGCAAGCTGTTACTCGGCCGTGAATCCCTGTATTTGCTTTATATTTGTGCAAAGCTTTTCTCGTCAACTTCGTGCGTTATGTAGATTGACCGTTTGCTGCAAGGGATCATAGGAGAAGATGTTTTACAGGATATAATACTTGTCACTCGACCAGCACAAACAATTAAGCTTTGTTTCCGTTAACGATTGACGCTTTAAAGTCGCTACCGTTTTGGCGAGGACTGAAGTTAGTTTACAGCCTCAAGTAAGGTATAGAGTCACTCCATAACCATTAGCCAAGCAGTCTACTGACTGAGTCTGAGCAACAGTTTATGTTTTTAACGATGGCGACGATCTTAAGTGTATAAACGATTGCAGATTAAAATAATGCCAATATTAGCAATGCAAATTTCGTTGTCATATATATCTTGAATTTATGTAAATGTGAATCCCTTCTGTGGATTGAATCACGTTACAAGTCGCTGATCTGTGTTGAAAGGTAATGTTTGATGACATTTTTTTGATAGTTTGCTATGGATTTTGCAAGTCAGCCTTGAGTTCTTTAATAAAGAATAAAGTTTATTCAAAATCCCACTGTATACGTGCGTTAGCGTGGTCAGCTTGTGCAGCGAACTCTAAAATTAATTACAAGCTTTTCCTGTGACGCACGAATAAGTTCGTCTGTGAACAAATGTCACTTTGTTTGATAAACTTATTTCTGAGATAATAATTGTCGCAAAAAGATAATGAAGCACTGAAAGAACATAACCAAATACATTACACCAGTCAAGGCCAGAGGTGCCTAATTAAAAATTTATTTTTCTTTTCTCTTCTCAAAGAATTTTCGCCATAGCTGTGCTTATGCTATCAACTGATATATGATATTACTTTCGTCAGCGTGACATCGTTCTTAAATGCTGTTTGATTTTCTTGGCCTCAGGGCTATCTCAAATATTGCATTTCTCGTTAAATTCATCAACTAGTTGAATTGATTGACCCCTTTCGTCAATTGATTGACCCCTTTCCACCCGAGAAGAACGCTATACCTCTTCTATATTTACAGAAAATCGAATTGTTCGTTCTCTAGTGCAACAGAATTAATAGTATTCACTAACAATATTTTTTAAACATATGAAACAGACGAAAGTGCCACGAGCTTCCATTCCGTTCAGGTCATAACAGACCCGCAGCCAAACGAGCTCATGAAATTCATCAGCGTCTTAACTGCGTATCTTTCCACACACAAAACTTTGAATATGAGAAAAAGGTTGGAAATGCGTGGGTTTTGTTTTAAACAAAGTCTGGCGGCAAAACCCACTCAAAAAGGTGTGCACACAAATCAGTCCTCTTTTAGATTAAACGAGCGCGCCCCACATCTCGGACCGAAGCGTCGCCGAAGCGCCTTACGATGATGGCTAATTCTTTATTTTTAGGTATGTATGTTCGGCAAGAACCGTTTTTTTAAAAAAAAAATTATTACTTAATATTTTACTTATATCGCTAAGTGCCTCGTATCCTAATGCTTTCTATGCCCATGCAAGGAGAAAGATTACGATGATTTCAGTTCTATTAGATATCATAGTATTTTCTTAGTTTTGCTCCAGTCTGGAAACGTTGACTGACTTCTCCTTCAGCTTGCTCTAGTGTGAACTTTTACAAAGATCATAACAGCAAGGAGGGTCGAAGAGTGACTGTAACCGGACTAGCCTTCGTTTAAGTGTTCTCCGACTATTCTCTTTAAGGGCGATTGATTTTAAAAGGGGTGAATCCTGTTTCCTCCAATTATAGCATCGGAGATGTTTGTTCATGTTTCGTAAGCTGGCTTCTTCAAGCTGTAACCTGTTACTTTTTATGTTATCTGCTTCGTGAGTATGTTTCTTTTGGTTGTCATCTGAACTGAAACATCATTGCATGGACAAAGTTCTGTCTGCAAGTCTCTCTCAAAGATAGTTCCACGGCTTCAACAGATCCCAACTTCCCTACAGCCAGTTGATTTCCCTACAGGTAACCCAAGCTCGCACAATCAGGCTCTGTCAACGATGTAAATTTATGTATTGTGTATTTATGTAAAATGTAATTTTTCTAGTACCTAAATAAAAAGATCTATGCCATTTCCCATGAAAGCCGGAAGATATCAAGGCTGCTGGCCCTCATTAGGCATTTAAAACGGCAGCTCTCTCGCAATTTGTGATAAAGTGTGTGATTCAATAAACTAATTTGCCAAGACCGTGAAACATGATGAGTATTTAAGCTGCAAGAACCACCTTAACCGCAAACATCATGGCTCTAAGCCTGGTAGTTTGGAAAAAATGGAATGCCGGAATTCCGTGCCGGAATACCCGGAATACCCGGAATTCCTGGAATGACCGAAAAGTAATAAATTAAAAAAAAAATTAAATAAATAAATGAATAAATAAGAATATTGATGATTAAAAATTGATAGTAAATTCACAACTTAATCAAATAATTTAATGCGAAATTTATCTCTGAGGGTCCCGAAAAAAAAAAAACACTTACCAGAATTGTTCATGGAGATGCACGTAATAGAATTTAAAAACGTCTGTGTCAGGCCAGTAGCCCATACAGCCTAAGCGACGAAATATTTGTACTCTCCCTTCCCCCTGGATGGGATGCTAGTCCATCACATGCATGGTTACTCCCAGTTTTAAATTCGCCTCCACACATTTACACACCTGTAGGATGTCTAGGGTGCAATGACCATTAAGCCGGCACGCTTTTCCAGCCGGAACCATTGCAGAAGATTAAACAAATCCAATATTTCCAATTAGTTTAATAGTTTAAATTTTAAAAATCTCCGAACTATTACAAATTAATGCTCTACCTTAAATAGTTATTAATTAACCACACATTGGGAGCTATCAAGGCAGCTACCAGCCGTCTCCAGTTTAAACTGAGAGATCGTCAGTTACTCGACACCTTTTCGCGTTAATTATATATACCTTTTAATATAAACCTTGTACTGTTGGATTATTCTAAACAAGAAAAAGGAAAAAAAAGGACTTACTCCTCGGTTGTCTCTGGAGATGGCAAGATACTTTTCCAATTACTTTTTTATAGTTGTGGTTTCACTTGAATGTTAAATTTGACCCACCACGTGGTCCGTTGTCTTTATTGGTGGTACTCCTAGCGATTCCGAAGCGTATAGGCACTTTTTATCAATTTTTTCTTAATCTATTTCTATTTGTAAACCACATAGAATCGAGTAGTTCAGAGAAAGAGCTGGAAAAAAAAGGGAAAAATGTTTGGAAATAGTTTGCACAGCACTTATTAGAAGCTATCACAAATGAAAAGCAAATGGATACAAGAGTACTCATCGGAAAAGATTTAATCCACCAATATATGCTAATGCTGTACCCTAAAACAACAATTATCGATTGTTAAAACTACGCGAACAAAGCGTCATATTCAGAGGCAGTAATTGTAGTCTCCCGAGTCTCTTATCTCTTCGGCACACCTTTAATACACAAACGTGGATTAGCTCAAAAGATATTTCCAGACTGAACAATAACAAAAAGTGAAATCAGTGTGTCGCTATCACACAAGACAGAACGTGATTTCTTTCCTTTCCACACAAGAGCAACTTTTTTTGTTGTTAACAGTTTGTGGCAAATGAAATAGTTCCAATGGAAAAAGGTCGCTTTCCCCTGATTCAATTCCCTAGTCCGATAAGAAAAGGAAGATCGAAGGCTTGCTACCATACTCCTTTTTTTCTCATCAAATCAATTTTTTCATCACAAGCCCCCCCCCCCTTCCATGTGGTTACCTCTTGAGTAATGTCTCAATTAACTAATTATCACTCTACAGTGCCTTTGATATTGACGTGAAGCCCATTCATGCACGTTACAGAAAGAACTCGAAGTCAAGTAGATCAGAAATATCTGGTAGGTTCATGATATGGTTAAGAAGCGTTCGCATGGATTTGACACCCGGGATTTGACCAAGACATACAATGAATTAATGACATTATCACGACAGGCGATAAATTTATGTTCGTGGAGACCATCTAATAAGCCACTAAAAAGAAATCAACTTTATGTCTGAAGTTAAATGTAAAAAAAAAAAGTTTATGTCTGAATCTATCAAAAAATCTAATCTCAATCATTGCAGTCAATAAATTACTTTATCGCGATCTATCAAAAATCGCAAAAATCGGGTGGCATCAGAAAATGCTTGTGCTGACAGATTTTAAGTGCGGTCGCACTTTGGGTTTGCTCGCCAAGTACTTATCGTATTTACATCCCCTTTTCCACTTAGAACCCACAGTGCTTGAGGTCTGTCAAAAATAAATCACACTTCTGGTTTGTTTACCTTGAAGCAATCTTTGGCATCAGTTTGTATATTGTGAGCTGTAAGCTACATGTAGTTCTAGTATGTGCATCTCCGTGAACAGTGCCAAAGGTAGTTATTTTTTACGTCACGTGGTCTCTGCATTTTATGACTGATCGAAAATTTTGCATTTTTTTGGTTTTACTTATAGAGAACTGATTTTCTTTTTTTTCTTTTTAATTTTTATTTTCACTTTATTTTTACTCTTTTTTAATTAATTATTTCTTAATTATTTATTCAAACTTATTATTTTTAATTATTAGGTAATTTTTTTTTCAATTTGTCATTTTTTGGTCATTCCGGGAATTCCGGGTATTCCGGGTATTTCGGCACGGAATTCTGGCATTCCATATTTTCCAAATTACACTCTAGGCCTTGACCCTACGTTTGCTTTGCATGACATAGCAACGTAATAGCCTTACCATAATTGACACCGTTTTTGTTCTCAGTCTATTTTTAAAAATGACGAATCAGATGGAAGGTGTTCAAATCATTTAACAACGTCTATCATTTGAATTAACCCCTTCAAAGTCTGACATGAGGAGAGAGCGCCATGACGTAAATTTGTGGCGTGACCAATCACTTGTGTTTCCCCATGGATGACGAACTGCGTATTCGAATATTTTCCGTGAGGTAGCTGTGTTTTATATTGATTGTGGTTGAAACTGTCTTCACAACCTTAAACAGACAAAGCAGCTGTTGAGATATAAGCTCCAGTTGAACAGGAGTTATTTAAAGGCATCGTCACTTCGATCTGCCGTGGCGACAGCGGCTGAAGAAATCGAGGGAATCAATTCAGCTCAATCTATATCTGTAAACAGCATTGTTGTCTTCGAGTCTTCCTCGAACGTGAAAGCGTCCAACTGTGACCTGGTAACGGCAGAAACCTATTTTACCCCCTAGAGACAGAACAAAGAGCCTGTCACGATGATTGAAAACGCAAACAACTTATCCGCGATTTTGGACCATGCTGGTTTAGACAGCAATGATACTTCTACGCCAACAACTTGTCCCTTTACTGTGGGACCCGTACAAGTTTATATCGCAATACATGTGGTCACTCTTCTGGTATCCTTGGTGGGAAACATTCTTTTAATCGCTGCCTATGTGAGAATGAAGGAAATAATCATGCTCCATATCGCCAACATGGCTGCATCTGATCTGCTGATCGCACTCTTTCTAATGCCTCGCCTTCTTACGAGTGAATTCACCGGATCCAACGCTTTCCTATTTCGTGGAGATGCCGGTACATTTCTGTGCAAGATGTGTGTTTTCTTAAGCGACATATCGTTATCTGTGTCGACACAGAGCTTAATGCTCATAGCCACTGAGCGATTTCTTGCGATTGTTTATCCAATTTTCTACAGGAAGGTAGTCACGGTGAAAAGACGTTATCTCTTCGTAGCTTTAACATGGATAGTTTCAATGGCGATTCATTCGCCGTACCTGTACACTTTCCGTCTGTCTGCCGATAACATTTGTAAATCCAACTGGGAACCAGCTTTCGATCATGAGTCGACGGAGATACGCTATAAGATCTTTCTATTCATAACAGTTTTGATTTTACCGCTGTTTTCTATTTCTGTGCTTTATGGCATTGTTTACCTTAAACTTCAGAGAGACAAACTGGCTTCGTCTCGAACTGAGAGAGGGGCATTAAGACATCAGGAACGCAGCAGGAAATTACAAAGGATGGGAATAGCAACTATCATTGCGTTCTTACTATGTTGGATGCCTTATATTGTGATAACTGTTTACAATCAACTTTCTCCAGATGCTCATCAAAATTGTAACAAAGTTTTCAGGGTAGTTCATCATATTTCTCGAGTTTTGGCAAGCAGTTATGCTGCAGTAAATGCATGCATTTGCTTTATTTTCGTACAAGGGTTTGCTCAGCAGCTTAGCGCTATGTGCAGGCGAAAACGCCCACGATCAGTTACCACTGAAATGGTACAAGAATGGTCTGCAGAGAGCAAGTGTAATCGCATACGATCTGAATCAGCCCAAACATTGAGCTCGCTACTGATCACGAGAAACGGGAACAATTGCTCGGTCAGTGACTCCCATCTAGTCTAAGGCCTATCCTTTCTAAGCCAAGGGCTAGACTAGAATTGACTAATAGAAATGCACAGTCGAAAACAAGCTAATTTGCATACTTAGATGAGGCAACTTTCTGGAAAAATCTATATTGTAATTTCATTAAGTCATGTTATTCAAATTAATCGAGTGCATATCTGGTAAACCGATGTGTTTTATGAAGTACGTTTATGAAGTACGTTTCCCTCGAAATGGTCACCTGCGAATGGCTAAGAATGAATTTGTTAACAATTTTGTAGAATTACAGAATTAAAAAATATCTACGAAGTACAAATTTTCGAAACCCTTATATTCTCGATCTTGACATTTCAGGCCATAGACAGCATTGTGTACACCATTTCCTCTGATATGATTGGTCTAGAGAAAACCAAAACAAACTTACTAAGGATACGGTAGACCTTTGAGGAGTATTTTTAATTTTTTTTCTTGTCTAACTAAGCATTGTTATTTTAACTACAGCTTCTGATTTAGGAGCAATATTGAAACATGCACGAATTATTTACAAAAACGTATTTTCGATCTGAGTTCTTTAGCTCGCCAAAGTGTAAATGGCAATTATAAGATGTCAACATTAATGACTACCGGATTTCGGTTGCACGTGCAGATCTTTGCCATCTACCTGCGTTTAAAACTAGAACGTGAATGGAGAAAGATAAATTGGTGAAAAAGGTGAAAAGTAAAAAAGGAGCCTGGCTTATTTTTGAATAAGCTTCTCTCAGACTTTCCTTCTTGACAGCTCTATGTCACAAAGTTAAGTAGGAGATATGATCATCCATGAGCTGAAATGAAAAACAAAAGGATCCTTCGGAACACTGAAAAAATCGAAAGCTGGCAGAAGCTATGACGCTATGACGGCTTATGGCAACAAGTCACAACCGTGCATTCGGTCTAAACAAACGCGCACTCGACTTCCTTTTCGATAAAAGTGAAGCACATATATCGCGGTTCATCGTAATGTTTTTCTTTCTTCCAAAAACAAGTCGTACACATTTAAAAATTTACATGATAGTCAGTCTGTGTCCTCAACCGCCGCAAAGTCACCGCAGTCGGACTGTAAAATTGTGATTTCTACCACACATTTCAACCAATGCCACTCAATCTGCTATTGACGCGGAGCTTTTTCTGTGCTTTATCAAATGAACTGGATCCCAAAGGCCATAGATATCAGAGACACAAATGCGGGCCTAAAATGTTGGGGTTGGCCTAAGTTTTAAAACACTGAACAGTGATGCCATGTTTCATGACGTCATGGTCCAGACAAAATTGTCTATGACCGGACTACCTGACATCGCTTCACGTGACTTGGGTGAACGTGTATCATGTTTTGAATGTGATTTTGCACGCAAACCGTGGAGTAACTGATTGAAAGGAAGAAAAAGAAGATTGAATGGAGGAGGCTCGATGTGGCTTCCTCAGCCCGATCAGTTGCTCTGATGCAAACATTTAAGCTTAATCTAGGTTTTTACGTGTTAATCCGTGATATAATTTGATAACAGGAGGCTTACGTTAATAGTTGAGCGTATCAAGTGTCTTGCCCAAGAACACAACCGAGTTAATAGACAATGACCCTCGTGATTTCCGAACATCACGTTGTAAAACCCGGAAAACTTATTCCATCGCTTTACTAATACAAAGAGGATATTAACATCTAAAGTGGTATGGTTCTCAGCAAGCCGCAAGGTGGCCCATGCAAATTATTGCGATATATTAGTACTGCTTCTAAAAGTACTCGTGGACAGCCTTTTTCTATATCGTCGCAATTCCCTCTCGTTTGTATCGCGCTGATGGTTCCGCTTGCACATTATGCTTAACTCGCGAGAAAAGACTTTGAGGAACATAAAACAAATACAAGGATTAACGGCGCAGTAAGAGCTTGCTAAAACCCGAGATATATATTCAATTATTTCAAACGTTTCGCTACATTTAGGAACTGACTCAGGTGAAAAAAGTCGCAGAAAATTAAGGACAGCAGAAAGCGTCCAACATGTCAAAAATGCTGTAAGAGTAGCTGTGACCATCTTATTTAAACTCTTGTTACGATCAAATTTTCTGCGAGCTCTTTTCTCAGACAGACCGGTCACCATTTTGTCAATTCTCCGAAGCTTGACCACCGTCGTGAGGTACAACGTTGACACCGCAAAGAGGGGTACAAACAGAACTGTCACGTATAAAAAGATGTTATATTGTAGTTGAGCTGATCCGTTGCTGAAGGCGGGTTCCCAGCTTTGCCAACAAAAAACGGTTTCTGTGCCATTGGGTTTTTCACGTGTAATCAGTCGAAAAGTGTAGAAATATGGCGAATGTAACGCCATAGCCAGAATCCACGTGGAAACAATAAGCACATAGCGTGTTCTCATTGTGATTTTCTTGTACAAGAAAGGATACACTACAGCCAAGAAGCGTTCCCCGGAGATCAATATCAAGTTCTGTGTTGATACTGACAAGGACACGTCACTCAAAAAAGTGGAAATTTTACAGAGAATTAGTCCTCCTAATCCGTGAACAAGGTAGGCGTTGGATCTGGTGATTTCTCTTGTTATTGAGCGAGGAATCAGAAAAACTCCGACAAGTAGGTCAGAGGCAGCCATCTTAGCAATAAAGATAGTGATCTTTTCTTTCATTCTCGTGAACGCAACTATAAGAAGAATGTTCCCGGTTAGAGCAATTAACAACGTAAAAACATGTATTAAAACCATTGTTACTTGTATTGGACTCGTGGTAACTCCGAGACTTTCACAATTTTCTTGAGGAGAAGTTGTGCTGTGGTGGAAACCTCCATCGTCCAAAGTATCCGATGAAACATTTACTTCGAGAGCCATCATGATTTTGTCGCTGTTCGCTCAAGAAAGGTGCTTTCTCTTTTTATCTGTTGTTCAATTAGTCTTAGCGCCATCATGACCTGCTCGTCATACTCTGGAACAATGGCAAATTGAAATATCATACAGCCTAGCATGACTCCCAGGCAAAATAATTGAAGAAATTATTGAGAGATTTTTCTCGAAATTCTGTATTGTCCATGCTGTATTGTATACTGTATTATCCATGTTGCCCCCATACTTTTAAATACTAAAGTAAAAACTTTGTGTCTCTTAAAATGTAGCAGTGGAAAAGATACAATGCAGTCTGGTAGTCAAAATATTGATCACGAATTGAAAATATTTGAATTGTAGATGCTATCTCCATATTAACAGGTTTGCTTGACAGAAATAACGAATTTACCTGTAAAGGATTCAACAAAAATCCCATTACACTGGTTAGGAATAAAGACCGTTATTTACTTTTATATTTGTTTGGTCATTTGAAGGGAATCTCTAGAGGTATATTTGCCAACACTTAAAACAACTAAATCTAATTTGAAGCGATGTCTCTTGGATGAAAATGATCTTCGTAAAACCTATATAACTTAGATGCAAAACCTCATATCCTCGCCTGATGGGTGACTCGTCTGTAAAGTGGCGAGCCTTGCGTGCGCCCAGAGCTCTCAGCGAGGTCAACCTCCTCACGCAACAAGTTTAAAATTTAACTGATGCTTTCTGTATTTGCTTTGCCGGTTGCGGCCTGTAGTTGCGGTTGATGTGAAATGATTACATAATTATGAAAACGGCAGTGGAAAACGAGTCATTCAATGCACCAGCATGTTGCACACGGTGGGGGGAGGGGGAGGGGGTGGGGTATGGTTTTACCATACTTTTACTGAAATATTATTTAGACATGACAGATGACCACAGATAGCATTCGGATCAGTTATAAGATATAAAACTGATTTATTCCTAAAGATGATTATGAAATTTGCATGAGTTATCTTGAAATGATAGTGGAAATTAATGGAAAATAAAAATGAATGAAGATTAGCTCTAAAAGGAGCCTTGTTGATTAATCCATGGTCGTGATTAATAATTTGTACAACCGTGCTCGACTAGTTGTGCGAAGTTGCGGTCGTATCATTCGCGGCTTTAATCCGAAAACGAGTCACAATTCTCAACAAATTCGAATTGACTGTTTTTCAAATTATGCCAAAGAACCCTAATAGTATCATATTCATGTCGACAATAAATCATCTTCATGATTGTTTGAAGCACAAAAAAGTGTTTCAATGCAAATCTGCTTATCGTGCTGGTTTTCAGCTGAACTATTCTCACGCGGGGGAAAGTTAAGTCAAATTGCTGATTGTATTTCTGTTTTTAACACGTTTTTAACCCTCGGGTCATTTTGTTATGACTACCTTTTCCATCTGGCTCTTATCTGACCAACATTTTATCCTAGCGTGGGGGACGCCAAGGTATAAACTCTTAATGTTCTGCAAAAAGCCTTTTGTTTACCGCGGTACACCTCCAAGTTATTCGGCATACTGAGTTTTTCTATTAATCGTACGGGGAATCTAATTGCTACAAGCTAAACTGAGATGCAGACCGATGACTGCTGTGTCGTAACAGTGTTATTTCCCCTTCATTGTGGAATGAAAAACAGGAACCTTTAATAGTTTACCTCACGATTCAGAGCCATAAGACCTCATCAGACCGCGACGGCGGCGGCGGCAACGAGGACGTGGCAAAACAAAGGACTCAGTAATGGGAAGAACAATGGCTCAGCTTGTGCGTCGTAAAACTCATATGCAAAACAAAAGCGTGAAATCATTAGAGTTGCGTGGTCTGATAACTGAAACCCTGGCGGCAAATTATCTAGGATCCCTTTGGGAACTCAACGCTGTTGACGTACTGGTAAAACTAAGGTGTAACGCTTTAAAAGGCGGTAAACACATCCAGCCATTTGCGAAATTCTAACTTCTAAATTCATTTTTAATTGCCCTTTTCCTTGGTGTTGACGTCTAAACTGCTGAATTAAAGGTTCCTATTCATATTCCATTTCGCAGTTTCGATTGTACTAGTCGCGGTCTTTGTCAAACGATAAGGCCGAATGACTAAACTACACCATAATGGCACAACGTAGCCAGTTGCCATTTTATGGAAGGAGAAGGAACCTCGAAGACAAGAGTGTGAGGGGAACAGCAGAATGAAAAGAAAAAGTGGAGTTGACTGAATGATCTGACTTTGTTATTCAATGCTGCTTCCTGAAAGGTTTTTTTTTTTATATATAATCACGTGAAGACATTACCCACGCAGTAAGCCGCAGCCGGTTAAGAAGATTTAATAAAGAACCCTGAAACTGAAAATTCTTCAACGGGTTTCCAACCTCTGTCTCAGTTCCAGATAACACTTGGGCGCCATTACCAGCTGGCCAACAAAACTACATGCTGGGAGCGAAGCAAATTTTAATGGGTTCATTATTCCCATAAAGAATCTGATCATGATGGATTCATTTGTATTTTGCCTTGCGGTTGTTGATTAACAGGTGATAAACAATTTAAGATATGATCCTCTCTCTGATACTCACAAGGATGATGCCTGGTTCGTACCTTCCCTGGAGTTATCAACCCCAACTCAAAATGTGATTTGTTTCACTCACTTCTGGAACATGTTGTTGTCTGCGCAGCTCGTTGTTTCAGACAGAATAAGCTTCTATCCTTGACACTTTCCACTTGGGTCAAATTGAGTCATCAGAGCGAAATGTGATAGATTCCAATTCCAAAGAGTGGTTCATATGCCAAAGATGTTTTATCACTTGTTCTCAAGTAGAGAATGCTACACATTTTCCTGTGAATGCCGGTCACGCTACTGTGAAGAATCAGTCGTCTGAGCTTATTTACAGCTTGATCCTTTTACTCTTAAGCTTTGCTTATCGACAATCCACCACGTCTGTACCCATTCCTTGTAGTACAATTAGTTCCCAGTATCGGCTGGTTGATATTTCTTGTTCTTTCGTTATCTTTCTACCTGATAGCACTTTGATACGTCAAGGATAAATTCCTTTTTTGGCCTCTGCTTGGGAGGAAAGGGTTTAAAAAGAAAAGAAAACGTATCAGAAGATTGATCTATGACCACATTTAGTCACCGCTGGTTGACTTTGTTGAAAGGACGTGACGAACTGGACACTATCTTCCTCCCTATGACTTTGCGATCTCAATATTCGAACTGTTTCAATCCGGTTAATGCTAGATTACTGTTGAGCTGTGAGGCAACTTGAATGGACAAGAACGATATGTATTACAATTCACGACAGGCAAAGTCCATCTCTCTTTAGGAAGGAACACACAGAGTTAATCGGGGCCAGGTCAATAAACGTTCCATCTATCTCTATTGGATTGATCGGTAAGCTTGCTTTCGTAGATGATATATTTTAATCCTTGTTGAACCTTAAGCTCTATTAAACTTCAGACGAAGTATCAACAAACCATTTTACATTCTACCACGGTCTTAAACAAACTCTGAAAGAAAGGAAAGCTTAATAACTGATAGGTTTGGCTAGGAACTAGAGCAATACATCAAAGTAGGGGGAGGAGGAGGGGGGAATGGGGGCAAGGACGACAAAGTTACCTTGAGGGAAGAGTGGAGCGGGATTTAGTTCCCACTCCTCCTTTCCTTGTGCGTGGCGAAAATAAAATATGGTAAGACTTCTTCATCATAATTGTTTCCTTGTTTTCAACTTTAGGTACTCTCGCCTTTATATAGAAAACGGAAAACAAGGCTTTTGTAACATTGTATCCCGCTGTTTTATATTGTCGACCCTAAAACTCCGATGGCGTTTATGCGTGTCCATTTATCAGCTTCAATAAAGCGGCAAAGCTAGGGATATTTAAGTTTTGAACTAATGGTTCATGGGATTCGTAAGTAAAAGCACATGAATAATAACAACTGTAGTCCATGCTTCGGGCTAATGCTGACGTTACAGTAGTTCTAGCCATGTATATATGAGACTGTTCGATCCAATTTGTGGTTCCCATTTAAGTTAGCTTCAGTTGCTTAAATTACGCCTGCAGAGGAGGCGTAATTTTGGCGATCGCGCGCTTCGAACTCTTGACGCTTGCACTGAAGGTTTTAAATTAAAGTATACAGCTCTCAGAGTTGATCAGATCGACAATATGTTGCTATGGGTCCATTTATTGTAATCAGTAATTCGTAATGGTTCGATCGTCGAAGGTGCAAAACAGACCCTTTCCGGCACAGTTTTCGTAGTCTGTGGTAAGCTTTAATTTATGTCCATGGTTTGTACGTTCAGAATTTTTTTTTAAATTTGTGTGGCGGTCAGGTGTTGTGAAAGCAATATCGTTTGTCGCTAAGTCGCAATAGTGCACATTTTTTGTAGTTGTGAATGAAAATTTCTGCAGCAAACGCAACAAAAGAGCGTTTAGGAATTTGATTACTTCTCTAAGCATCTCACATAGGGTGGCGACTATTTAAAGTGTTTGCCGTTGTGCTTGGGTGGACTTTCAACACCCTTTCACGTTATTTGTCGCTTTTGTCTATCAACAGTAGTGTGTGTCAGATATAATGAAATATATGACGTTCATATATTTTGAACTGCGGTATCCTCGGTACTGCGAGGATCGTGCATCATAAGTAGTGTGTGTATTGTAACAGACTAGAAAGGTTTGATAGCGATCACTAAGCGAACCACCTTAGCCACTTTATCTGTTAAAATGAAATATTTTGAGCTTTTTTAATCAACAGTGGCCAAAGAGACATTTTAAAGAAGCCAAACGTTCATGAAAGTGTTGAAATTACGAAAGCAAACGGTAATCCTGTGACTACAATGACCAACCATATTGTGCGAGGTCACGTCTACGAACGACTATTCGAAGAAACTATTCGACTTATCGATCGAAAATGGCAAACGCTACCTGATGAGTCTTTAAGCCAAAACATTTCGGCCAAGCTGACCAATCATTTTGAATTAATTTGGATATATCAACAAAGTTGAAATGGTAAATTGGCCTCCGTAACGATTACAAAAGCTGACGTTTCGAGCGTTAGCCCTTCGTCGGAGCGAAGGGCGAAGGGCTAACGCTCGAAACGTCAGCTTTTGTAATTGTTACGGTGGCCAATTTACCATTTCAACTTTGTTGGTATATCCAAATTATTTCGTTACCCCCACCGACGCAGCCCCAAACAGTTTCTTTAGAAACTATCAGCCTTCAATCATTTTGAAGCCAGACAGATAACATTAGATAAACGAAGCCTGAGCACTTTTCTCAGCTGTGTTGCCGATGACTTCATCCAGACTGTTAATCCATGCCACGAAAGAACCTTATTTTAAGATAACAATCAACGTTTTAGGTTCAAGCTCAAACCCTTTTTGTGCATTCTATTTGATATCTTTTTTTCTACAAGAAATTATTTCATTCATTCACTCATCTTTCTTCTTCCTCCTTTTGTTTTTGCCTTTCAGCGTCACTGAAATTCTTGTCTGTAAATTTCTAGCGGGCCCATTTTCCCTACAATATTTGTCACGCAATTGGATCGAAACCTGCGGGAAGAATAAGACAGATCTATTTCTATCCATGTCCCTCCTCAATTCCCGATGTCAGGTGGGAGAATATTTTCGTTTCATTCCTTAGAAAGAGATGCTTTTCTTCATTTTTTGTCACTGAATAGGCATTAAATATTCCACTTTATTCCTCGAGCGGGAATGAATTCGAAAGGCAAGATTTTATTTGTCATCAATCACATTCAATTTCATTTGACTTCTCCTTTAGCAGTTGTCTAGTTTATGTGCCATTTATTGATTAAATGTGATGAAGTTCCCATTTGAACAATTGCATTTCATCCAACTCTAAGTGGACGGATCACATTTCTCGATAGGAAAATAATTATCTTTTATATCGCCATAATTGGTCTTACTTGTCACTCAACAGGATAGAAAGCTCCACGTGTTAAGAGTTTTTTTTTTTTTCTTGTGGTTTCTTTGCTTTGTCAGTCTTTGAATAAAGTTTCTTTTCATTCATACGGAACACACCATTTTAGACCAGGTGCGCTCTCATGAGAGAGGTGGCCATTTTCAATTCGTTATTAGTGCAATAAAATAGGCATGAATGCTGAAGAACTGTTAAAATTCAATGAATTACGTCTAGTGGCGGTCCTTCTTCAGAAAAAATGAGATAAGTAACAACAAAACAAAAACTTCTGAAATAACCTTCAACAGTTATTCACCTAAAGGGAGGTAAACAACCACCACTCGACAATGAGGTAAATCATTGTTTTAGTATATACCTTACAATAGCGAAAAAAAAAAAAAATAGGATAGTTCTGTTACTACACCGGAAAGTTGTCGGATATTAAACTCTAGACGCACTCTCTTGTCTCTTCGACTACTCGGGAGTGAACATTACGTGCTAATAACCTCCGAACTTGCCACTTAACGCGCGCGAAAGTCTGACTACTCACCTGTGTGGTATAATTACAAAAGTTCATCGAATACACTTACTTTCTTTATTAATGTACAATGGACTTATGTAACAGCAACCGCGGAAAAACCAGGAAGCCATATATCAAATTGCTCTGTTAGACTGTCATCTTTCTTGTCACTAAAAGAAAAATATTAAAACTATAAACAAAAGGGCCATTAGTGTAAGCGATATTAGTATTCCGACATACAATACGCAGATGAACGAAGATGATGAAGCAGTGTAAAATTGTTTTTGGTCTCACTTGCACTAACCGAGTCCAAATGTTTCGTATTCCAATACGCAGACGATATTTGCGAACTGGAATGTGGAAAACAATTAAAGAATAGGAACAAACTGCCAAAATGTTTCAGCTTTAATTGGTGGCACAACTTTATCACGTGCTGTTGATTATGGAAATGAGCAAGTTTTTTTTAACATTAAGACCTCGTGATAATCATAGTATGCCGCCTATTTCCGACAAGGTAGGCTTGTCACGTACTGTTGAACATAGTTATTTTGCAGAGGAGGCAAAAACTGATGCCACAGCACAATTATGACAAAAATACTGAAACATGTACTCCTTGATCTATCGATGAAACAGGCATTTCGGCCAGAAAAATGATTGTTTGAAACTTCTTGTTTTCTTTGTTTGTTTTTTTTTTCAGCCCTTGCGATTTAAGTTATGAATTCAAGTGTGCAACTCGCTTTGGAGGTTTCAAAGGCTTGGAATACCAGCGGCAACGATACCCCCCCTCTGGAAAGCTGTGTCATCGCATCTCCTATAGTTCCAAGAGAGGTTAATATCATTGTACACTTTCTGACGTTCTTCACGTCTTTGACTGGAAACACCCTCCTCATCATTGCATATCTGAGAATGAACGAAGCGATACTGCTGCTCATTGCCAACATGGCTGCATCTGATCTTCTCTTAGCGCTGGTTCTTTTTCCTAGATGGATCATAATAGAAGTAACTGAGTCCTCCGAATTCCTCGTTCGCGGTAGTGGAGGCGCTTTTCTTTGTAAGATCTGCACTGTTCTAAGCGACGCATCATTGTCAGTGTCAACCCAAAGTTTAATCTTGATCGCAGTCGAGCGGTTATTGGCACTGATAGCTCCTGTGCTGTATAGGAGGATAACCAATAAAAAAAGAAGAATTCTCGTCATCTGCACTTGGATTGTGGCTATACTACTTCACTTGCCCTATTTCTATGTAATGCAACTGGTTTTAGTCCCTCACAAAGGTACCTTCATCCAAGTTTGTGACCACGACTGGCAAACATTGTTTGAGGACAAAACAGCACATGTTCGTTATAGCATTTTTTTATTTACAACAGTTTTAGTTATACCTATTCTTATAATTTGTGTCCTTTATGCTGTTATTATTATCACCCAACGAAATGACAAAATGGACACCAGTCGAAGTGAAAAGTCCGCAAGACGAAGGGAACAACGCGTCAAGAAATTACAAAGGATGGCTGTAGCCACAGTAACTGCACTCTTTTTATGCTGGCCGCTTTACGTTATGATCGTTTTACACAGAATTGTCTCTCCGGAAACTGTTCCTAAATGTAGTAAATTTTACAAGGTGGTGGATCACATTTCTCACATGATAGCGAGCTGTTATTGTGCAGTTAACCCTTGCCTTTGTTTCATTTTTATAAAAAATTTTTCGCGTCAGCTTAGTTTTTTGTGTAAACGAAAATCTAATCGACAGCCGCTCGTAAAAAAAGTAATCGTACGAATGTCAGAAGGAGAGAATCTAGTTCTCTCAGCTTTCTGACGAGTTTCAGATTAAACAAGTAATCATTATTGACAGCTCTGTTAAAATAAACTGAGACGTGATATAAAAGAAGGAAAAAAAACAGAAGTTGAAACATAAATTTAATTATGCTTGAATTACGGATCACCTTAGGGTAAAGCGACTATTGTTTCTGAGTTGCCATTCAAACTCTCCCTTTGTTATCTTACTTGATGCAGCAAAACACTGGAACATGAAACTAATTTATTTGCAGAGGAAATGTTTCCCACAAAAAAGATCATGATATATCAATAAAATTCCAGTCAAAGAGGCCCCCTTGAATGCAGCAGTGTTAATAGAAAGATGTTTAGTCAACATTTAAGTCGGAGACATATATGGGGCGTTAATTTCCTAGCGGTTATAGTCTTGATTCTGTTGCTTCAAAACGAGTACGTTAAAAGTACTCAGTGTCCTGTAGATATGAAATTAACTTCCGTTACCGGTCAGGTTTCAAACATTCTGTTTCAAACATTCTGATACAATGAAATATACGAACTTCATATATTTCATTGTATCTCATTCTCGTTTGAAGAGTGGCCTTTCGCTCAGCAGATGGTTACCAAGTTAATTCCTCTTATTCGAAATACGAGTGAGAAGATAAACTTCCGGCAAGGTGAGATAACCAGCGCAGCTTAGGCTTTTGATATCATTTAATTTCCTCCAGCCATTTGTCTGAGGTACACCCCTTAATTTGCATCCATGTACCGCGATAAAGTCCACTAGGATACTAGATTAAATAGCACAGATCATAAATGGCATAACTTATCAAGTATGAAAATGGTTTTGGTCTTTGAACGTTGAATTCAGTGTTCCAGAAGCCAAGTTGCAAGGTTTTGTCATGTAAGATCTGATTGAGTCGATTTTGGAGCAAACGATTTCGAAATGTCTGACATAAATGCTTTCTGCTTGTATTTTTTGGCAGGATAGTTTCGTCCTTTATTACGTACGGAGTGGAATGGCTTTGTTTGCATAACATTTTGGCCTGAAACTCATTGTACATTAAACCAAAATTATATCATAACTAAAGTAAAGCGCGCGCTCTGATTGGTCAATTTAGCGTCCCCCATTTGCC